CATACACACACACACATACATACATACACACATACATACACGGACTGACGGTATTTCATGTGTTTCAGTCACCCGAGTGATGAGAAGGACACGTTTTCACGGAACATTTCGGCGGCCAGTCTGGGTTCTCTGCTCGGACATCACGGCACCAATCACATTTCTCAGCACAGTGAACCCAACCTAACAGACCCGTTAATGGGAGGAGATCCATCAGATCAGGAGACAAAGATCGACATAGAACGGGAGGTGAGGCGTGTCCATTGGCGTGTGGGGGGGGAGGGGGGTGTCTGGCTGTCATTGTGACTGGAGCAATGTGTCTCTCCAGAGAGAATCTCTGGCGTCCCTGCACCCGATCCAACGCTCCAAGTCCAAACATGAACTCAAACTGTTGGAGAAGATTCCGGAGAACGCTGAGGCCAGCGTGGTGCTTGTGGGTGAGTCACTATGTACCAACGCGGGCCCGCAGCCCGTCTCCTGCGTCAGGCCGGTGTTACCTGCACACCAGGTGGGATGGTCATTGTTGGAAGAGCCGTAGAGTTGTATTGCCGGAGCTTTGCATATAACGGAACCCTATTGATTCCCAGTAGATGTTGGTGGGTTGGTTGGTGGGTCGGTGGGTTGGTTGGTGGGTTGGTGTGTTTGTTGATTGGTTGGTGGGTCGGTGGGTGGGTCGGTTGGTTGGTGGTTTGGTTGGTTGGTGGGTCGGTAGGTTCGTCGGTAGGTTGGTTGGTGGGTTGATTGGTTGGTGGGTCGGTTGGTTGATGGGTCGGTGGGTTGGTTGGTGGGTTGGTGTGTTTGTTGATTGGTTGGTGGGTCGGTGGGTGGGTCGGTTGGTTGGTGGTTTGGTTGGTTGGTGGGTCGGTAGGTTCGTCGGTAGGTTGGTTGGTGGGTTGATTGGTTGGTGGGTCGGTTGGTTGATGGGTCGGTGGGTTGGTTGGTGGGTTGGTGTGTTTGTTGATTGGTTGGTGGGTCGGTGGGTGGGTCGGTTGGTTGGTGGTTTGGTTGGTTGGTGGGTCGGTAGGTTCGTCGGTAGGTTGGTTGGTGGGTTGATTGGTTGGTGGGTCGGTTGGTTGATGGGTCGGTGGGTTGGTTGGTGGGTTGGTGTGTTTGTTGATTGGTTGGTGGGTCGGTGGGTGGGTCGGTTGGTTGGTGGTTTGGTTGGTTGGTGGGTCGGTAGGTTCGTCGGTAGGTTGGTTGGTGGGTTGATTGGTTGGTGGGTCGGTTGGTTGATGGGTCGGTGGGTTGGTTGGTGGGTTGGTGTGTTTGTTGATTGGTTGGTGGGTCGGTGGGTGGGTCGGTTGGTTGGTGGTTTGGTTGGTTGGTGGGTCGGTAGGTTCGTCGGTAGGTTGGTTGGTGGGTTGATTGGTTGGTGGGTCGGTTGGTTGATGGGTCGGTGGGTTGGTTGGTGGGTTGGTGTGTTTGTTGATTGGTTGGTGGGTCGGTGGGTGGGTCGGTTGGTTGGTGGTTTGGTTGGTTGGTGGGTCGGTAGGTTCGTCGGTAGGTTGGTTGGTGGGTTGATTGGTTGGTGGGTCGGTTGGTTGATGGGTCGGTGGGTTGGTTGGTGGGTTGGTGTGTTTGTTGATTGGTTGGTGGGTCGGTGGGTGGGTCGGTTGGTTGGTGGTTTGGTTGGTTGGTGGGTCGGTAGGTTCGTCGGTAGGTTGGTTGGTGGGTTGATTGGTTGGTGGGTCGGTTGGTTGATGGGTCGGTGGGTTGGTTGGTGGGTTGGTGTGTTTGTTGATTGGTTGGTGGGTCGGTGGGTGGGTCGGTTGGTTGGTGGTTTGGTTGGTTGGTGGGTCGGTAGGTTCGTCGGTAGGTTGGTTGGTGGGTTGATTGGTTGGTGGGTCGGTTGGTTGATGGGTCGGTGGGTTGGTTGGTGGGTTGGTGTGTTTGTTGATTGGTTGGTGGGTCGGTGGGTGGGTCGGTTGGTTGGTGGTTTGGTTGGTTGGTGGGTCGGTAGGTTCGTCGGTAGGTTGGTTGGTGGGTTGATTGGTTGGTGGGTCGGTTGGTTGATGGGTCGGTGGGTTGGTTGGTGGGTTGGTGTGTTTGTTGATTGGTTGGTGGGTCGGTGGGTGGGTCGGTTGGTTGGTGGTTTGGTTGGTTGGTGGGTCGGTAGGTTCGTCGGTAGGTTGGTTGGTGGGTTGATTGGTTGGTGGGTCGGTTGGTTGATGGGTCGGTGGGTTGGTTGGTGGGTTGGTGTGTTTGTTGATTGGTTGGTGGGTCGGTGGGTGGGTCGGTTGGTTGGTGGTTTGGTTGGTTGGTGGGTCGGTAGGTTCGTCGGTAGGTTGGTTGGTGGGTTGATTGGTTGGTGGGTCGGTTGGTTGATGGGTCGGTGGGTTGGTTGGTGGGTTGGTGTGTTTGTTGATTGGTTGGTGGGTCGGTGGGTGGGTCGGTTGGTTGGTGGTTTGGTTGGTTGGTGGGTCGGTAGGTTCGTCGGTAGGTTGGTTGGTGGGTTGATTGGTTGGTGGGTCGGTTGGTTGATGGGTCGGTGGGTTGGTTGGTGGGTTGGTGTGTTTGTTGATTGGTTGGTGGGTCGGTGGGTGGGTCGGTTGGTTGGTGGTTTGGTTGGTTGGTGGGTCGGTAGGTTCGTCGGTAGGTTGGTTGGTGGGTTGATTGGTTGGTGGGTCGGTTGGTTGATGGGTCGGTGGGTTGGTTGGTGGGTTGGTGTGTTTGTTGATTGGTTGGTGGGTCGGTGGGTGGGTCGGTTGGTTGGTGGTTTGGTTGGTTGGTGGGTCGGTAGGTTCGTCGGTAGGTTGGTTGGTGGGTTGATTGGTTGGTGGGTCGGTTGGTTGATGGGTCGGTGGGTTGGTTGGTGGGTTGGTGTGTTTGTTGATTGGTTGGTGGGTCGGTGGGTGGGTCGGTTGGTTGGTGGTTTGGTTGGTTGGTGGGTCGGTAGGTTCGTCGGTAGGTTGGTTGGTGGGTTGATTGGTTGGTGGGTCGGTTGGTTGATGGGTCGGTGGGTTGGTTGGTGGGTTGGTGTGTTTGTTGATTGGTTGGTGGGTCGGTGGGTGGGTCGGTTGGTTGGTGGTTTGGTTGGTTGGTGGGTCGGTAGGTTCGTCGGTAGGTTGGTTGGTGGGTTGATTGGTTGGTGGGTCGGTTGGTTGATGGGTCGGTGGGTTGGTTGGTGGGTTGGTGTGTTTGTTGATTGGTTGGTGGGTCGGTGGGTGGGTCGGTTGGTTGGTGGTTTGGTTGGTTGGTGGGTCGGTAGGTTCGTCGGTAGGTTGGTTGGTGGGTTGATTGGTTGGTGGGTCGGTTGGTTGATGGGTCGGTGGGTTGGTTGGTGGGTTGGTGTGTTTGTTGATTGGTTGGTGGGTCGGTGGGTGGGTCGGTTGGTTGGTGGTTTGGTTGGTTGGTGGGTCGGTAGGTTCGTCGGTAGGTTGGTTGGTGGGTTGATTGGTTGGTGGGTCGGTTGGTTGATGGGTCGGTGGGTTGGTTGGTGGGTTGGTGTGTTTGTTGATTGGTTGGTGGGTCGGTGGGTGGGTCGGTTGGTTGGTGGTTTGGTTGGTTGGTGGGTCGGTAGGTTCGTCGGTAGGTTGGTTGGTGGGTTGATTGGTTGGTGGGTCGGTTGGTTGATGGGTCGGTGGGTTGGTTGGTGGGTTGGTGTGTTTGTTGATTGGTTGGTGGGTCGGTGGGTGGGTCGGTTGGTTGGTGGTTTGGTTGGTTGGTGGGTCGGTAGGTTCGTCGGTAGGTTGGTTGGTGGGTTGATTGGTTGGTGGGTCGGTTGGTTGATGGGTCGGTGGGTTGGTTGGTGGGTTGGTGTGTTTGTTGATTGGTTGGTGGGTCGGTGGGTGGGTCGGTTGGTTGGTGGTTTGGTTGGTTGGTGGGTCGGTAGGTTCGTCGGTAGGTTGGTTGGTGGGTTGATTGGTTGGTGGGTCGGTTGGTTGATGGGTCGGTGGGTTGGTTGGTGGGTTGGTGTGTTTGTTGATTGGTTGGTGGGTCGGTGGGTGGGTCGGTTGGTTGGTGGTTTGGTTGGTTGGTGGGTCGGTAGGTTCGTCGGTAGGTTGGTTGGTGGGTTGATTGGTTGGTGGGTCGGTTGGTTGATGGGTCGGTGGGTTGGTTGGTGGGTTGGTGTGTTTGTTGATTGGTTGGTGGGTCGGTGGGTGGGTCGGTTGGTTGGTGGTTTGGTTGGTTGGTGGGTCGGTAGGTTCGTCGGTAGGTTGGTTGGTGGGTTGATTGGTTGGTGGGTCGGTTGGTTGATGGGTCGGTGGGTTGGTTGGTGGGTTGGTGTGTTTGTTGATTGGTTGGTGGGTCGGTGGGTGGGTCGGTTGGTTGGTGGTTTGGTTGGTTGGTGGGTCGGTAGGTTCGTCGGTAGGTTGGTTGGTGGGTTGATTGGTTGGTGGGTCGGTTGGTTGATGGGTCGGTGGGTTGGTTGGTGGGTTGGTGTGTTTGTTGATTGGTTGGTGGGTCGGTGGGTGGGTCGGTTGGTTGGTGGTTTGGTTGGTTGGTGGGTCGGTAGGTTCGTCGGTAGGTTGGTTGGTGGGTTGATTGGTTGGTGGGTCGGTTGGTTGATGGGTCGGTGGGTTGGTTGGTGGGTTGGTGTGTTTGTTGATTGGTTGGTGGGTCGGTGGGTGGGTCGGTTGGTTGGTGGTTTGGTTGGTTGGTGGGTCGGTAGGTTCGTCGGTAGGTTGGTTGGTGGGTTGATTGGTTGGTGGGTCGGTTGGTTGATGGGTCGGTGGGTTGGTTGGTGGGTTGGTTGGTGGGTCGGTCGGTCGGTCGGTGGGTCAGTCGGTTGGTGGGTTGGTTGGTGGGTTGGTTGGTGGGTCGGTTGGTTGATGGGTCGGTGGGTTGGTTGGTGGGTTGGTTGGTCGGTCGGTGGGTCGGTCGGTCGGTTGATTTTCCTGCTCAATGAGTAAGTTCTGAGAGATTTGAAGGGAACGTTGTATTTCGGTCACTGTATCGGCTCCAGAACCGAATCCGGTCTCTGTGGGGGTGGCCCCTCGGGCCCACTATTGAGTGACATTTCCTGTGCTTCCTGTCCAGGGTGCGTAGAGTTCCTCGATCAGCCCACCATGGCGTTTGTGCGGCTGCAGGAGGCGGTGGAGCTGGATTCTGTGTTGGAAGTTCCCATTCCGGTGCGTTTCCTCTTTCTTCTTCTGGGACCCGGCACATCCAATATAGACTATCATGAGATCGGAAGGTCCATCTCTACCCTCATGTCAGATAAGGTGAGTCTTCCAGTCACATGACCCTTCTTTCTCTTTCTACAATAGACAGATACTAAGATCCGCGTGTACCTGGAATACAGGAGACCTCTTTGTCTGATATATCTACCTATTACCTGTGCGCCCCCCTTTGTGTCACCTCCTCCACTCTCTCTGTCTCCTGGGCCCATCCCTACTCCTCTTCAGGCCCCGGGTCCTCCAAGTCACCTGTCTGTGCGCCTTTGTGATCCTCCCCATGTCTATCCCCC